CCCCCCCGCAATAGAGCATTGGCTTCTCTGGAGTTGGAAGTAGAATGGGAATGGGGGCTTCCTCTGAAAGAAAGGAAGAGAAGAAATTAGATCTGATTCGACTTCTCACTCACCTTTACTAACAGGGCACGTTGCTCACCTCCCCTAAGCCCCAGTGTAACACAAGGCATCAGCAGCTTCCTTGCGGGATAACTCCAAAAGTTAAACGCTGAAGTACCTAGGACAGTGCTGGACACACAGGCAGCCCTGTTCTTCCACACCAGATTTCTTCTCAACTCTCAGCTCATGGAAACGGAGACTGAAGCCTATATACCCCTCCTCCATCACCCTCTCAAAACCAGGACTTGAGACCTTCTTTCCAGAACGCCAGAAGCCTCATGAGCTTCACTCTCTGTTGACAATGAGCACAGAGCTGGTCTCATTTCCTGAACTTTAACCAGTGGGACCCACAGTTCTGGGGCTGCTGAGTCCTGCTGGACCCTCTGGGTGGGCCTGACCTTCTCTGAGGTCCCTGTGAACAGGGCAGAGGCAAAACTCTAGTGGACGCCATTTGCATCATAGTCAATGTGTAGGGCACCCCCTAGAGTTCTGCAGGGAACAATCCATGAGACCATGAGCAGCGGTTTCCTTAACAGACGCACAAGTCTATAAAACTCCGTGAATTAGCATCTCCAGGATGGTGGTCCCTCATGTGTATGAGCTGAGAGAGCTCCCAGGTCATTCTGGTCCTGCTTAGAAACCTTTGCTCTTCTGGAGACCCTTGCCCTGACAAGATTCAGGCAGCTTCTCTGACCCTCATCTATTTCTCTTCCCATTTGTCTTGCTCAGTCTTCTCCGTAAGTAGCTGTGAAAGGGAAATCACACATGCATATTTTATTTGACATGTTATTAAATGCAATTTATCATTCCCTGCATATATATTTATTTTCCTGTTTAACTTTTCACTCTGGGTTTCCTTGAAATAAAAAATCACACACTTTTACCTTGGAAAGACAAGTACATGATACCAATGCTCTATTCCAAGTCCATGGCAGACATCACTAATCAATCACAGCACTCTTTCCTCCTGAGCTGGGCACAACCTCAGACTCCTTCTTGATCTTGCATTCCAAGCAGAGGGTGAGAATCACTTAGAGCTGGCACAGGAGATGGTGTCTATTTGCCATTCCTCAGAAGGTCTTACTCAAAGCTTTCCAACTCCACCTCCAGCCCTGAATGTACAGCAGATCTCTGCTATAGGACATCTTTCCCCTTGGGTGTTCATTCTCCTATTCAGGGTAATCCAAGATGAGCCCTAAATTGGGAAGCCCTCCATCCTCCTAGGCTAAAGCGAGTTTTTTGTGTTCTGAGCTCCCAGTCTCTGTGCCTCCTTAGGACAGACATTATTTTCAACATACGTGAGAGACAGGAAAATAATGCCAACAGGCTTTGGAGTCCACACAGCTGTTGTCAAATCCCAGACCCACAGCTTCATAAATCCTCCTTCCTTTCTTCCTTCCTTTCTTCCCTCCCTTCCTCCCTTCTCTCCTTTCATCAAAAAAGTATGGAACACCTACTGTGTACCAGGCAAAGGTCTCTACATCTATGAAATGGATATTTTATGTAAAATAGCTAGCACAGCACCTAGGACACAGCAAGTACGACATAGATAGCTGGAAGAAAGGATGATTTTCAGACCTGGAAATGCAGCCAGAATCAGCTGACCCACCTCGTGTCACAGAGGAGAAAACAAGCCCAGGGCAACTGTCCAGGGTTCCTGCACAAGGTTAGGGCAGAACTAAGACTAGAACCTAGGCATTTCTACTTTTTGTTGCCCCCATTACTGGCTGTGCAGAGAAGCTGGATACCCTTGGTTATGTTTCATGTTGGAGAAATGAGGCTGGGCTGTGACCCCCAGAAGCCAGTCACACCTTATTCATGTCCTTACACACACATGCACCATGTAAGACTGTCCTGAGCAAAGTCTCCAGGAGGCAGCCAGTGTGGACAAGAACAGTGCCCTGGCTCCAGCTCTGTAGGCAGTGGGCTGAAGGAGAGAGTAAATGCAGGGAGAACAGTTAGAAATCTGTTTCAAGGGGCACCTGGGTGGCTCAGTCGGTTGAGTGTCCGACTTCGGCTCAGGTCATGATCTCACAGCTTGTGAGTTAGAGCCCCGCGTTGGGCTCTGGGCTGACGGCTTGGAGCCTGGAGCCTGCTTCGGATTCTGTGTCTCCCTCTCTCTCTGCCCCTAACCCACTTGCATTCTGTCTCCGTCTCTCTCAAAAATAAATAAACATTAAAAATTTTAAAAAAAGAAAAAGAAAAGAAATCTGTTCCGGGAGTCTCAATGGGAGATGACATAGGCTTCCCTATCAATAGGGCAATTTTGGTAAAAATGGAGAGAGCAGTTAGAATGAAAGATGTCATGGCATTGCCCCAGCAGGTGTTTCTTTTTTTAAAATTTTTTTTTCAACATTTATTTATTTTTGGGACAGAGAGAGACAGAGCATGAACGGGGGAGGGGCAGAGAGAGAGGGAGACACAGAATCGGAAACAGGCTCCAGGCTCTGAGCCATCAGCCCAGAGCCCGACGCGGGGCTCGAACTCCCGGACCGCGAGATCGTGACCTGGCTGAAGTCGGACGCTTAACCGACTGCGCCACCCAGGCGCCCCACCCAGCAGGTGTTTCTGCATGGTGGGGTGATCAAGAGGAAGAGGAAGTGACTCCAAGACTTCTGTTTGTGTCATGATCTTGTCAGGGGATGGCTACAAAATTATGTGTTGCTATTGCTTTTTATTTCCTCCTATTTAAGGAATGTCTTTTTTTTTTAAACAGAAGCTATATAACTTCAAATTAAGAATTTGTTAAGGTTTAAGATCTCTGATATACACAAATTTCCACTTTCTGCTTTTTCTTTGAACGCACTGTTGCCATTGTGTCCTGTTTTACAGTAACCATGTGGGTCTGTTTGCTGAACCTATTTCTCTTGGCTTTTAATGGCCAGAGAACATCTTTTAAAGTACACACGGGAACATCAAGCCACTTTACTCTTCTAAATCCTGACTCTGACACCTTCCACAGCTACCCGCTCCCTTCCCCAGGGCTCAGCAGCGCGGACCGGCTGCCTTTTGGCATCGAGGAGAACGGGGGCACGCCTTTCACTACCAAAGCTTCGGGAAGGCACCACCACCACCACCACCAGCACCAGCACCACCCAAACTATGGCCTCTCGCTGACTCTGGAGAACAAGGAGGGGCCTCTGAGATCCCCAAACTCCAGCAGTAAATCCCTTACAAGTAAGTGAGTAGGAGTGCAGAGGGCAGGGTGAGGGGAGGGATGCTGCAGGGCACGGGCGGCTTTCCTGGATCCTTAAGACAGGCCCTTTCAGCGCAGCATGAAAAGACAGTAACATCAGTTCTGGGTCGCCGGGTCTGGGCAAGAGCAGGCAAGAGCCTTGTGCATTTAAGCAGGAGCAGCTGAAGGATTACGGGTTACCAGTAAACTCTGATTTAATCCAATGTGGCGATGCTCTCTCCACCTCCTTCCTTAGCTGTTTCTATTTCCACAGGCTCAAGTAATAGAAAGAGGACAGAAGCCAGGTGGCTAGAATCTGTACTTTCCTAATTACAGGAAAACCCCTTCTGTCCCATTTCTGACTTCACCTTCCAAGAGCAAAGTGATGTCAGGGAGGCCCAGTGTTTCGGGTCCCAGTGAGAGAAGTTGGGAGATGGAGAGTAAGCAGTTCACAGCATTTTTAGCAATAGGCTAGGGTCATTTTGTATCTGTTACAACTAATAACAGTGGGCTTGGATTTTATACATCTGTTATTTTGGTTTTCTAGAAAATCCCTTTTATTATCCTTTACCAAAGAACTGTTCTGCAACAGACTGAGGGGGGAAGAGCTGGTTCTTTATCACACACGATGGGCAAAAGCACTGAGGTAGAGACAAGAGGCTTCACTTCTGGTTTTCGCTATTGAGCCAAGTTGCCTCTTGGACCCTCAGTTTTCTCATCTATGAAATGGGATAGAGGATGTCTAGTTTATGACCAAGGAATCTTCCAGCTCTGACGTTTCATGAGTCTGTGAGCTGGTGAAACGGATGAGCTAAGGGGCCTTCACCTGTAGACCACAGGGGATAATTCTAGGTTGCCTGAGCCAGAAATGGAAGTTCATCATTCACTTGGGGTTGAGGAATCAGAACTTGATCCCCTCATCACTATCCACATTGCCTTTCTAGGCCATGCCTCATCTTTTTGTAGCCAGATGACCGTAACAGCCCCCCTAAGGGGTACCTCCTCCAATGCAACCTCCATCTTGTAGCTGCCGACCTGAGAGCTCTCATCACAGACAGCTCTGACCAAAGACCTTTCAATGGCGTGTCACTGTCCTGAGACAAAGGCCATGTGGCCATACACAGACCTTCCCAGCCCAGCCCCTGCCAAGGACCCCAGCCTTCCCCGACTCCTCACTACACCCCAGCCACACAAAACCCCTCTCCTCTCACCAAATACTGTGCTGTGCTCCCAGCTCTGTCCTTTTGCACCTGCTACTCCCTGTGCCTGGAATGCTTTTCTCCACCTTAGTGACCTCCTACACATTTCTTCCGGAACAAGCTCAAATGTTGTCAGTGGAACCTTCTTTAACACGCCTTTCTGATTCCTAGCTTTGGAGTGCCTTCCCTTCTGCCGCTGTAGCAATTAGATAACTTTATCACTCTTATGTGGATTATCTGCACGTGTCTCTGTCTTCCTCACTAAACTAGAAATGTGCCTCATTTATCTTTTTATTCCAGCTGCCCAGATCCCAATTGCAAATAATACTTGGTACAAGTTTTCGTATGTAATGAATGTTTAATAATTAATGTATATTTCACTGTATTAATGGATAAATAGTAGCCAGTGGAAGGAGCGGTGGCAAACTAGTCCAAAATAGTACAGAAATCAAAATCCATGAATTTGGTTTTAGAAACGTAACATGGTTTTCAAGGAACATTCATATGCCTGTGAGCCTCAACGCTCATCTTTCTAATTTGCATAGTGTTTTTCCATTAATAAAGCATTTGTACACAAATGACCTCACTTAATATTCACAGCAACTCTGCAGGGTAATTTTATTTTCATTTAAAAAATTTTTTTTTCAACGTTTATTTATTTTTTGGGACAGAGAGAGACAGAGCATGAACAGGGGAGGGGCAGAGAGAGAGGGAGACACAGAATCGGAAACAGGCTCCAGGCTCTGAGCCATCAGCCCAGAGCCCGACGCGGGGCTCGAACCCACGGACCGCGAGATCGTGACCTGGCTGAAGTCGGACGCCAACCGACTGTGCCACCCAGGCGCCCCATTATTTTCATTTTAAAATGGCTCAGGGGCTCAGAGAGGTAAAGTGACTTGCCCAAGGCCACCCAGCTCATATTGACAGAGTTAGGCCTTGAACCTTTGATTTTAGGTGTTCTCAGAGCCCATCAGCTGGTCATATTCAAGGGATTTAAGCTGCTGGGGGAGAAGGCAGATAGAAAGGGTACTGGGGATCAGGCTCTGGTGAGCATGTTTTATCACACATATCTCTATCACATATATATTTCAACCTCTCTTTATTCATTCCCCTGGCCACTTGTAGAACTGAGTCCAGGAGGACCTGCCCTGTTCAGCGAAGCTGCTGCCCATCTAAAGAAGCTGGAATTGGAAACTGTGAAGGCGGCAGGACCCTGGCCTGCTCTGCACATCAACATAAATAAGGTGCAAAGGACCAGGGGTGGGTGATAACCATGGAACTGGGGCTCACGTCAAACATCTGATTATTACCCTGGCCCACCTCCTAGTTTATGTGCCTTTGTCTTGGAGGGATTTCTATCTAATATTTCCTGACATTTCTGTTCAGTCTCTTTGGGTGAACTACAGCACGAGGAATTGTGCTCAGTGCTGAGGCTAATGGGCTGGACGGATCTGTTAGTGATCTCTCCCTCCTTCTAGAACTAAAGCCCAATGAGGAGGCACCCACATTTACCACCTTCCATTTTTACCTCTCTATATTGCTCTGCTCAGGCTGCTATAACAAATTACCATAGATAGGGTGGCTTAAACAACAGATATTTCTCATTCTTCTGGAGGCTGGTAGGGCAAAGATCAAGGTGTCAGTCAGTTTGATTCACTAGGAAGGACTCTCTTCCTGACTTTCAAATGGTTGCCTTGTAACTGTATCCTTACCTGCAAAGAGAGCTCACTCTTTCTTTCCTCCTCTTTTTTTTTTATTTTAATTTTTAATTTTAGAGAGAGAATGTGTGTAAGCAGGGGAGAGGGGCAGAAGGAGAGAGAGAATCTTAAGCAGACTCCATGCTTAGGACTGAGCCCAACACAGGGCTCGATCCCACAACCCTGGGATAATGACCTGAACTGAAATCAAGAGTTGGACACTCAACCAACTGAGCCACCCAGGCGACTTTTTTTCTTTTCTTTTCTTTTCTTTTCTTTTCTTTTCTTTTCTTTTCTTTTCTTTTCTCTTTTCTTTTCTTTTCCTTTCTTTTAATATTTTATTTTTACGAAATCTCTAGACCCAACATGGGGCCCCAACCCACAACCATGAGATCAAGAGTTGCATGCTCTACTGACTGAGTCAGCCAGGTGCCCCTCTCTCTTCTGCTTCTTATAAAGCGACTAATCCTATCATGAGGGCCCCATCTCATGACCTCCTCTAAATCTGTTTACTTCCCAAAGGCCCCATCTCCAAATCCCATCATATTGTGGGGTAGGGCTTCAACCTATGAATGGGGGGGGTGTCACAGTTCACTCCATAGCACTCTCTATCTCTTACTCTGACAGTGCCTGGCACGTAGTGGATGCTCAGTAACTGTTTGCTGATGGAAAGAAGGGAGGGATTTAAGGAAGGAGGAAGAGAGGAACAGGGTGAAAGCAAAACTCTCTTTTGGCTAGACCTACTCTTTTTTTTTTAATGTTTAATTTTTTTTTTTTAATTTTAAGAGAGACAGAGAGGGTGAGAGAGAGCAGAGGAGGGGTAGAGAGAGGGAGAGAGAAATCCCAAGCAGGCTCCATGCTGTCAGCACGGAGCCCAACATGGGGCTCGATCCCATGAACTGTGAGATCATGACTTGAGCCGAAATCAAGAGTCTGATGCTTAACTGAGCCACCAGGCGCCCTTGGCTAGGCCTGTTCATATATCCAAATGAACAGCCTTATGAAAGCCAAATTTTATCTTAAAATGGTGAAAGCTCACCATTAAGTAATGATGTTAGCTGTATGTTATTGTAGCTGTTCTTTACCAAGTTGAGGAAGTTCCCTTCCTTTCTTTTTTAAAATGTATTTATCTTAAAATAGAGAGAGAGAGAGAGAGAGAGAGTGAGAGAGCGAGAGAGCACACACAAGTGGAGAGGGGCAGAGAGAGAGAGAAAGAGAGAGAGAATCCCAAGCAGTCTCCACACAGTCAGCACAGAGCCCAGTGTGGGGCTTGAGCCCATGAACCATGAGATCATGATCTGAGCTGAAATCAGGAGTCTGAAGCTTAACCAGCTGAGCCACCCAGGTGCCCCAGCTCTGCCCCTTTATTAGAGGGAATAAGAAGAATTTGGAAGATCTGGCCTGGGAAGCTCTCCCTCCTTACCTGCTCTGGTGAGCATGGGAAGGTTACAGCTCCTTCAAGGGCTCTTCCTCCACCACAGCCAACCCTCTAGCCTGTACTAGACTTCCAAGATTTCTTAGAAGACGCTCATTTCCCTACATGCCTACTTCCCCCAAATGGCAGCCTAAAGTCCCTTTGACAACACCAAGGGCCCACTCACCCACTTTTTCTTCTATACCACCCTCCCTGATGGCCAGCTGGAAAGAATCCCTCCTTCAGGGTGGCACTTACATTCACTCAATCAACGAATCCTTACTGAGCAGCCTCTACTGTGCTCAATAATATCATGCGCTAATATATCATGTGCCCCCCGGATTGGTCTTCTTTCTCTTAGTCTCTTCGTTTTCAAACTTTTTTTCCTGCAGTCCACACAATAAATGGTTTTAACAGAGGCTTACCTAGAGTTTGACAGAACCCAAAAATATTTTGCGAGGAAATACAGCAGATAGCAGCAGACCGCTCCCAAGCTCTACGTAATTTGTGGTTGCCATGAGTATTGGTGGGCCATCAACAATAGTGGCTTGCTCTGGGTTAAAGTGTAGCTGAGACAACTGTGAGTTACTGCGCATTTCCCTGGAGCCCCTTTTTTCCTTTTCTCCTTTTATTTTTTGCTACTATGAGCAATGCTGCTCTAAGCATTTGTGTCAAGTTTTTTTTTTTAATGTTTATTTTTGAGAGAGAGAGACAGAGAGTGTGTGGGGGAAGGGCAGAGAGTGAGGGAGATACAGAACCCGAAACAGGCTCCAGGCTCTGAACTGTAGGCACCAAGCCCGACACGGGGCTTGAACTCACAGACTGTGAGATCATGACCTGAGCCGAAGTCGGACGCTTAACCAACTGAGCCACCCAGGTGCCCCTGGAGCCCCCTTTTTCTACTTCCACTTGAGGAAATACATTAGTAAGCAAGTGGGATAAAGTGATGTCAGATAACCTTGAGTTTGTCTTAACATATAGGCAAAGTATGTTACTTCACACCGTGACTCTTTATTATTAATCAAACATTCCATGCAACAGACCTCACAACTCTCCCTGATACCACAATTGGTGACCAGTGGCTTCAGTGGCTTTCAAGGATTGAGAATCCTCTGATTTTTCTAAGATTTGGATAAGTTCCTGTTCTTGATTTAGTGTTGAGAAGACATTTTCATCGCCCAGTTCCAAAGTGGTACCCAAAATTATCACAGGAATTTAGATCTCACCAGATTTCAGATGTGTAAACAATTTTATAAACAATTATAAAATGCATCTGATCATTTCTTTATCCCCAAACGACTTCTCCAAACAGATGGACTGTTTCCAACTATAATCATATCAAAGCCCAATTGTCATTTATTTGTATGTTTTAAAATCTGTATTTCAATATTGAATGGTAAAGCATCTTTTCACAATTCAAACTGAATGCAAAACACGACACGTGGTCATGCAGAAGAGAGAAAGCACAACATTCTTGGAACCATCCTTCAGGCTGGAATTATGGACTCATAGCCCAGATGTTTATCTCATAGAGATATCTTTGATGCAAACGTATTCGTAGAATGATAGTCAACTTTTCCAAAATTTATATTGGTTTTCACCTGGGTCAATTTGTAGAGCTGGCCAGTAGCTCCTGCTTTGCCAGATAGAACAGTAATGAGCCAGCTTGGGTTTTACATCCAAAAAAGGAGTTTAATATGACTAAATTCAAAGGGAAAATCAATGCTGAATTCCCATTCTTTTTTATTTTAGCAGCATTCATTGTTTTAAAATACATCTTCGGTCATTACTGCCAGTATAACTCTACCCCCTTAAGCAATTGTCAAAAACCTCAAGTGGGCTTTAGAACCAATTTAATTCTTGTATTCCAGCATCTCATTCCCAAAAATTACATCTAATTAAAAAGTTAACTCTTCACACACCAGTGAAAACACAGGTGCTGGTGTTAAACAATTGTCTTCATGTGGCAGGATTTATAAGCACAAGGTAAGTTATCCTAGAGCAATCCTGTCAAGCTCATCTTTCAGAATAAATAAGTTACTTATTTGCCTTTTGGGGAATGCTAAGTCTTTGGGGATAATGACTCCACTCAAAAGAGTCTGTTCTCTTCATACCCAACTTGATGGCTTAGGATTATTAGTGTCCTCATATCTGATGCTCTTGTGTGGTTGTATTTTCTAGCCAAAGAATCTAACGTGAAAGTGCCATTCAAATCTATTTTTTTTTTCTCATTTTCTCATCACAATAATCTTATGAAGAAAGAAACTGAGACCCAGGGAGGTTAAGGGGATCCAGTGTTGCCGAGTGGTCAAGAACTGTAGCTTTGCAGTCACCTGATCCTGAGTGTGAATCGTGGCTCTTTTGCATCCTTTCTGTGTGACTTGGGCAAGTGACTTACCATCTCCCTGCTTTGTTTTTCTCATCTATAAAATGAGGATAATGATCCTGTCTACCTTCAAATGGGATGGTCAAGTGAGAGGACCCAATGAAATGTGCTTAGTGAGTGCCTGGCCTACAATAAGCTCTCAGTAAACATGAGCTACTGGCATTATTTTTCTTTTTATCATCATGATCATAATCGTGATCATTATCAGCATCATCTTCTTTCTATGGTGCCAGAAAGAGAAAGAGCAGAGATTAAAATCCAGGTCTTCTGTCTCTGCTTATCTTGCTGTTACGTGAAATTGCTTCATTCTACGTGTTCTACCAAATGCTCCTCTATGCGTTTGAAGAGCTCTCTTTTCTTTATTAAATGATGTCAACCAGCCAGTTGCCCTATAGTTCCTCTGGGGCTTTCGTAACACTCCTGCTATGTGTACCAAGGTGCTCAATCAGACTTTCAAATTAGTAAATGAGATTACTTTTGGAACTTGCAGAACTTGAGGCCTTTGCAACATTTTGTTCTTGCTAACATGCCACATGAAGTCCTGATATCACTTAATTGACTTTCAGCAATCATATGGTCTTATAGCTTTCTTAGTAAGCACATCTCTTTTAATAATAACTCTATATCATTATAATCTTCTTTAGTAGGTATCTATTGAACACCTGCCGTGTGCCAAGCACCATGTTAGCACTGGAATATGCAGTGACCGCAATAGGCATGGTTAACATTAAGACATTAATTCCAGTGTGATTTCAGGTTGTACCTGAAATGATGATTTCAGGTTGTACACCTAAATGAGTATTTTTTTTAATAGTTATGTAATTATCATAATGTCTATTATAATAAATTTTTTTTTCAACGTTTATTTATTTTTGGGACAGAGAGAGACAGAGCATGAACGGGCAAGGGGCAGAGAGAGAGGGAGACACAGAATCGGAAACAGGCTCCAGGCTCTGAGCCATCAGCCCAGAGCCCGACGCGGGGCTCGAACTCGCGGACCGCGAGATCGTGACCTGGCTGAAGTCGGACGCTTAACCGACTGCGCCACCCAGGCGCCCCAATAATGTCTATTATAATAAACATAATAGTCACCAAGCCTGTGATTTCAAAGATATTATTGTTTATGTACTTAAAATAGGTAGTGCCGGGGTAATCCACCGTAATTGGATCATATAAACTATAGGTACCTGTTGGGGCGCCTGGCTGGCTCAGTTAGTAGAGTATGTGACTCTTGGGCTTGGGGTTGTGGGTTCGAGCCCCACATTGGGTGTAAAGATTACTTAAAAATAAAATCTTTAAGGGGTGCCTGGGGGGCTCAGTCACTTGAGCTCCCGACTCTTAATTTCGGCTCAGGTCACGTTTCCAGGGTTGTGGGATGGAGGTCCATGTCGGGCTCTGCGCCGAGCGTGGAGCTTCCGTAAGATTCTCTTGCTCTCTCTCCCTCTGCCCCTCTCCCCCGCTTGTCCTCTCTCTCTTTCTCTCTAAAAAACTTTAAAATGAAATAAAATCCTTAAAAATAAAATAAATTATAGGCACATGTTTAGTTAGTACCTAGGAAATGGGAAAAATAGTGAAGTTGGTACCAAATTACACTCTACAGTGAGGTAGCCCAGACACAGGTTTCTTGAGCTACGCAATTTTCAGCCAGATTTATTGTAAAAATACTGGTGACTATTTTGCACTCTTTCTCCAACAAGTCACGGAATTGAATCTTTCTGTGTAAGAGGTGGCAGTTATGGGGGAAACAGCGCTGCACTAGGCTGTGGGAAACTCGAAGCTGGAGTCCTGGAGCTGCCCCAGGCTCTCACTGCATAACTCTGGAAGAGCCTCTACTCTTTAACCTTCACCCCGTCCTCATAAGTTCCCTAGTACCTCCTCTCCCCACTTCACCAGAGAGGGGGAGGATGTGCTTGTGAATCCTTTGCAAACAGTACGAGCAGTGGCACAGATATAAGGAGTTGGTGACATACTTGGGCATGTGTTTAAGACTGTGCTATTTGCAGTTACGGTTGAACGGAAAGGTTGATGTAAGTGTTGTCTTTCCTCTTTGCTTATATAGTCTGTGGCGTGTGTTCTGGGTTTGTCACAGGCTGAAGAAAAAAAGGTTTCTGAGAAGACTCTTCAGACCCCACTTTTGCCTTCCCCTGTAGCTGATCACGTGAAGTGTAACATTTTGAAAGCCCAGCTGGAGAACGCATCCCGAGTGAGTGCTCAGGTACCCGAAGCACATGCATTCCTTTGATTTCGAGTCACAGGATTTTCTTCCCACCATATAGAAGAAAGAGGCACTCTAGGCCTGAGATACTGCCAGTCAGGGTCCAGTCAGGAGACAGGAACCACACCTTTTGTGTGAACAGTTTGAATACCAAGAGTTATTAACTGGCATACACCTGTTAACTGTGTAAGCGAAGGGGCCGGCTCTGTAGGTTGTGATGGGTATGAAGGCCACAGGCTGCGGCAGTGACCTCCAGCATCCAGTCTGCTGGCCTCACTGGCTGAGTGGGCGTCCTTTCCTCCCCCACCATTCTTTGTGGGACTCACCAGAGGCAGGAAGAACAGGCTTCTTTCAAAATCATATGACATAATTCCTCCCAGGCTTATTACACTGATATGAAAAGACAGATTCTGAATTCCTTTGTAAACTGTGATATGTGAGCATAGGGCTGATTATTATTCCTGATCTAAAATGTGAGGTGGGGGATTAAAGTGTGGGTTTGACTTTTCCCACACCATCCCTTTCTCATTCAAGCGTGAGGTGGCACATAGCAGGGGCTCAATAAAAGTATGAATGCAAGCATTGATTGCATTTGAATGATTAAGTGTTAATCCCAATGATGGGGGATGACTCACGAAAACATTTTTTTTTTTTTTGTTAACTTATATAAACACCAGAGAAAATTTCTTATTGACTGAGCACTTGGTGCTTTGAGTTGCCTTCACATCTCTGTAATCCTTCAAATGTTGGAGACTTGAAAGCACTTTGCTCACTAAGATACTCAGTTTTGACTAACCTGCCTGTTTCCTTTAGCAGGTTGGAAAAGAGGAATCGACGTTTGTAAATATCAATAAGAAATCCAGTCTGCAGGATGCTAAAGTAAGGTCTGTTGCTTCCTGTTTGAATGGGGAAACAGTACTCTGTATCATCAATGTTATCCTTGAGACATTACTCACAAGGGCATTTGCTGATAAAATCAGAGGGGAAAAAGAAAACTGGAAAAAATGCGAGCACAAAGAGAGAGAAAAAGACTGGTTTAAAACAAAGACTGGCTTAAGTCTCAGAAATGCTGCTTATTCTCAGTTTTATTATTTCTACCTGCTGTGCTAACAAAGAAATCACTTTGAGTTGCTTTTCAAGTATATAGATAAGACCCTGTCATTCCCCTGCTTGATGTCATTTAAAGGCTCTGCATTGCTCTCAAGGTGGAGTCCAGACTTCTCAACAGAGCACAGGAGACCCTTTAGGACCTGGCTTCTGTCCTCTGTCCCAGCTCAGCCTATCACTCTTCCCTTGGCCATTGATATGCTCTTCATACTGAGCTACTCTGTGGTGCTAGAACCACACATGTTCTTTAAAGCTTCCAGGCTGCCACCACTTTAACCCCAGAGGAAAACCTTCCTCTTCTGATCTCACAGAGAGCAGACACACTTTCCCCTCTCAGCCCAAGTAAGGAACAACCTATAGATCATGGCAACTCCATTGCCAGCTTGGTGGTCTACTAATACTGGGGAGGTCTCCCTAGGGTGCGTTTCCTAAAGTGTGTCCAAGTGTCACTGCATCAGTCTCTTGCTAAAAATGCAGACTCTTGGGTCCTACTCCAGACCTTTCAGATCCTTTGGGGTGGGGTGGACAGGAACCGGAATTTCAGCAATTACCCCAGGAACCACTGCTGTGGACAATTCTCGATGTTAAAAATAAAACTAATACTTTTCTATGTCACCTTTGATTCCTAATCCATAGTTTTGGTATAACTCAGGCATACCCCAGAGCATATACCCGGCTGCCTCCTGAACTTTTCAAAATCTTATTCATCTCCTCCCACCCTATCCCACTAACCCTTCACCTGTTTTTCAGTCTTGGTTAATGGCATTATTATCTACCTGTTATCCAGATCTGAGGCCTAGGAGTCCTTGCCTTTCTCTTCCTTCATCCCTTCATATAATTGGTCACCAAGTCCTGCTAATTCAGTGTTCACATTTTCCCCTACATCTATCCTCTCCCCTTCATGACCCTAATCCTGGTCTACCTCAAGCCCTCACTATCCCTCTGCCTGGATACCTATCCCCAGTCTTCGAAAGTGCTCCCGGCAGCCTGTTTTCACCAGTATCCTCCTCCTTGTTCTAAAGGCCTTTCTAAAATGCAAATCTGGGGGTGGGGGAGAAAAAATAAATAAAAAATAAAAAAAAAACTAAAATGCAACTCTGACTAAGCCATTCCCTTGCCTAAAACCTCTAGTGACACCTTGGCTTTCATTGTAAACCCTGGAGCCTGAGGCCCTTCACAAGGTTTCCGCCCCGTTTCTTCCCCCGCCGGAGGGGAAATCCCCTGCTCCTCCCTTGGGACCTCACCCATCAGCAGCACCAGCGCCTTGCATCCCATAGCCCTCCACTCTGTTTTCCACCTTGGAAGTCTTCCCTCCGTCTGGTTAAGTGAAATTCCTCCATGGAGCTTTCCAGATGCCAGTCACTCTACCCAAGTGAAGTTACGTGCTCTCCTGGTTGAATATAAGCTCTTCCAGGGACTATGTTCAGGTGACTCTAGGGTCCCAGCTTGAGGAAATCATGAACCTGGACTACGCAGACTCCAATTCATTTTGCTCATTCACGTGTTTATTCAGTAAACATTGACTAGACCCTGGCCATGTGCCTATTACCATATTAGACACTAGAGGAGAAAATGGGGATGCAGAATTGTTCATTGCCTTGCCAGAAGTTCCTTGCTGAGGACCTCAATTTGTTTTGATATCCTTTAGTCCCAGAAGATAATTTCTGGTTTTGTAAAATGAAATTAGTCATAACTACTACAACAATGTATGAAAGCTTTTCCTTAAAATCACTGTTTTGAGTAGGGCCCACTGGTTATCTGGCATATTTTCTTGAGGAAATATAGAAGTGAAACAGTTTCTAACATGTTCACCTATACACGATATTAAAATGTTTTAGAACAAGACTTAAAGGCCTTTTGATTATGCATTTTTCATATTAAATACTCTGTTTATCTTTTAAAAAATATATTCCATGCTATATTTAAAATAACACAGCTTCCAGATTACTTGGAAGTGAAAATGGGCTATCCACAGGTTTCTCTTTGCTCATTTTATAGGCAAAATCTGGTAATGAAGCAAACCCTGGAGGTAGATGTTTTGGGTAGGGAAGCTTTACATGGAACCCCAATTATATTCAATTCCTACCTGCTATATTTTCTTCCCTATGATTTTAGTTTTTATTTTTGGACTTTCTATGATTTTTTAAAGTTGTACTTAATAAATATATTTAATAAATATAAACAAATATTAAAATTTTATATTAATTGATTAATATTAATTAATATTAAAAATAAATATGAATAATATATTTAGTAAATATATTTAATAGAGTGGAAAGGAGGAAAAAAGGGTACATTGGTTATCAATGTTATTAAGGGTATAAATTAACTGAGAAAGCAGTCCCTACCGCCAAAACAAGACCATAAAACTTTTCTGTTGGTAATATTCTGTTTTTTGGTATGCCTCCAGAAGTCCTATTCCTATACGTGTGGAAACTACCCAACCAGCTGTGGAAAAGCCGGAAATCAAGCCTCCCCGAGTGAGGAAGTTAACAAGACAATACAGTTTGTGAGTTTTGTACTGCAAGTCTTTCAATTATAACCACAAAATTGATGCTAAATGTTCAGTTATAAATGCTTTTTAGCCTCTCACACCCTCTCCCAAGAGCCATCCTAAAAATACAGTTTGATTCCAATTTAAGTCATAATGGGACTAGACTTTTCTCGTTGAAGACCTTACACGGTTGGCATATGTGTTATTGATTGTTATGTAACAAATTACTCCAAAATACTACAGTTTATGTGGGTTGGAAGTCCAGGCATGGCTTAGTTGGGTCTTCTGCGTCAGGGTCTCTTACAAAGCTGCATTCAAGGGTTGGCAAGGGCTGTGGTCTCCTGCAGGCTCATTCCTGCAGTTTGGGGCAGGATTTGGTTCTGGCTGGCCATTGTCTGGAGGTTGCCCTCAGTTCCTAGTCATGTAGGCCTCCCTCGCTTTCTCCACTGGAGAAAGCACACAAGAAGAGCCAGAGAGAACTCTCACAAGACAAGAACTCTCACAGCCTTTTGTAACCTAATCACAAATGACATCCCGTCTCTTTTGCCGTATTCTGTTCATCAGAAGCAGGTCGCCAGGGCTAGCCCACTCTCCAGGGTCAGGGATTACACACGGGCATGAATACCAGGAGGAGGAATCATCGGGAGCCATATCAAAAGCTGCCTCTACAGCATAATCGTGAGATGGTAGCCTGGTTTGTCAACAGAGCCAAAGCTAATCATTGAGCTGTATGAGACCTAGGAGGGGAGTCATGCCCAGAATAATCCAGAACCACCGGGGCCTGCCCAGTTTTGTTTCTCTTAATGAAAATTTCTTGGCTACCATGTGCACAAAGTTGTTCTAGGAAGAGCAAAATGACTTTGCCAGTTCCCATCTCAGGAGTCACAATTTATTGGAGGGAGAAACTGATTGCCAATAATTACAATCCAAAGGAGACAGGTAAGGGCTGTAATAAGAGTAGTAGTTTAGTAATAGCAGCAGTGCTAATCACAGTGGTGGTTCCCATTTCTTGACCTTGACTGTGGCACTATTCCTGGGTGTTTAATTGGTCAGGGGACTGCAAGAGGATCTTTGGGTGCCATTGAAAGCATGTGGGCCTGGAGTCAGAAAGGCTTCTTTCTGTTAGAGCCCTGGCTAGGTTGCCTCTATAAACTCTGGGGGGAAATTACTATTTCAGCCTCTCTTTTTCTGTAAGATGGGTGAGGTGATACCTACCCCTGAGGAATTTTTTGAGGGTTAACCTGAGATAATGTGGGTAAAGCCCATAGCAAAGGACCTGGCCATGGGATGAATTGGTTCCCTTTCCTTTCTTTTCAAGGACCTGAAAGCCTCTGAGAAAAAGTCAAGTTTAGAGGGTACCCTGAGTGCAAAGTGTAGGCCAGTAAGGGTAACTCCAGATGCAATGCTCAAACGGCCGTCTCAGGCCTGCCACCTGCACCTTGTGAAAAGGAAGAGAGGCAGCCACCTCCCACTTCATTAGCCTTAATAGAACTCTGGACAGTTACAGCGGCTGTATTTCCTGGGAAAGCCAAAATGGGTAATTCAAATAACTAACAGTCCTAACGGTTTCTGGGGGACAAATCAAGCCATGAAAAAAATCTGCTCCCCTGAGGATAAAGCTGTCGGGATTAACCTTTCCTTTTACATTTTGAAACTCCAAAGGTTATTATCACCTATTTGGGACATGTAACCATGTTGGAAACAATGACTAATACATGGCCTGGAAGGGAAGAAAATTTAACTCACTACATTGGCTTGTTTAAGTAAACCTCTAACTTCACATGTATATTTCTTAAGCCACCCCCACCCCCCACAAAGTGTTCTGTTTCAAAAATCAAAGACTAGCAGGATTTTCCCCATTAGTAATAGCAGCAAAATTAATGGATGGGATTTAAGCTTGTGCCCCATTAATAGTTCTTAAATCGTTGACACTGGTCACCACTTATTTGCTCATCTCTTCTAATCACAGATATTGACAAAGTAAATAAGCACAATGTCAAGGAATACAGATGGGAAAAACTCAGATTTTCAGTTTAAAAAATATTTCTACATTACCATTATTGAAATGCACATACACACACATACACAGCCCTTTCAGCTGTCATAGTATATCTAGTTCTAGGACAGCAGGATGTGTGTTTGGATTTTAGGCTTTCCCACAAGAGCGTCACAATGTTCAAGTGCTCTGAACAACTTTTCAAATTGCTGCTTTTAAGGATGTAAACAAAAACCCAGCCATGTTCTTTCCTGGAAATAATGACAGAGGGAGGAAAAGTGTGGCTGTTATGTGGAGAGAAAAGAGAAAAGCAGAACTCTGTAGAGTTTGAGGCAGGAAAAACGTCATCTTTCTACGGATACCAGCCAGTATGTTTAGAAAATGATGAACTGCTTTATGTTTTTCAAGAAATATAACTTTATTATACATTTAAACATAGTGTAAAAGCCTAAAACTATTCTGAAGAGAATAATATTCCAAGCCTAAAGAGAAAAGGTAACCGATCCCCTAGCATCATGCCACCAGAAATGACTGATGTTCATATTTGATGACTATTATTTTAGACATTTCCCACATGTGGTTAAAATGGAAAGAAATAATTCCAAAGAAAAGACTCTAACTACACATAAAATTGTACTGATTAAATGATATTTCATGAATTTAACATGAATTTACCTTAGAAACGGAGGTTGAATTGAAAGATGTGATGAAGTTAGGTAGATGTCTCTTTGCTACAAGATCTAAATTAGGACAAAGGTTATAAAAACCATCAAGAATTTGGAGTCTTTTTCAATTTTAGGCGGTGTCGGTTGACTTCCTATTGTGAAAGATGAGCTTTGTTTTTTGTTTTTGTTTTTGTTTTTTAATGGCAGAAAATAATTTTAGCCCCACTTTTCCACTTAACTGCTATGTGACCTTGAGGAAGTCATGTTACAATCAGCCACTGGATATCATCTACTTCTCTGAAGAGTGGAGACCATAATGCAGGGCTGTTGTGAAATTCAAATGGGCTAATAATGCATGTGTTACTGATCTGACTTACTTCATCAGCATGGATCCAAACATGTGGCGTCTTTTTTT